TCTTTTAATGTTTAAGTAAATCTGTTAACTTATTACTTTACTTTTGGACAAATCACCTAGCTTCTTTGAACCTGTTTCCTTAAATGTGAAACAGGATACTAATATCACAGCAGTGGATGATGGATTCAACAGATCTGATGAGAAAGTTCCAACATTTACTAGCTATGTGACCTCAGGCAATTTACTTAAGCCCGGGTTTCCCATGTAGCATGGGAATAATCATGCCTGTCTCATTGAACTGATTTATGGATTAAACCAGATAATGGACATTAAAATGCCTAGCATAACACACCGCCACAATTCAACAAGTGTTGGCTCTTCGTATCCTTGCTTCTAAGGATGAGATGATCTAAGCACGAATTCTACAAAAAGATCAACAAAAGGAAAGCCCGAAGGATTCCTAACCCTTCCTTTCATCAGGAGTCATAGTAAGAAGCAATCAGCAAATACCTGAGTATAAATTGTAACGCAAAACACCGAATGAACCCTGAATGGTGTTCAAGAAAGGAGGGACCCAGATCCGGAACCTCCTAAGGACTCACAATGTGGTCGAAGAGATAAGACTCTGACGTGTTAAGACAACGACCAAAACAAAGCGCCGGATGGGGGAAAGCTCAACAGGGAGAAATCCCAGTGGCAGGCGAAGCAGGGAAGACTTGCCCTAAGCGGTGAGGACCGGGCCCCTGGAGCACAGGTAGAGTTCGGAGAGAAAGAAGGAGACCGTTCCGGCGGGTAAACCTCTCCCTCTCAGCCCCGCAGGCTTCCCCCAAGGCGTGGCGGCGACCGTGTCTCAGCGGCAGCGAAGCCCCAGACGAGAGGTTCGAGTCGATGTTGGGGTCAAGGCGCTGCAGGCACCAGGCAGACCAGCGTGGCCGAACAGCAAGAGGGAGCCTCGCCTAAGCGACCGGGGAAGAGCCTGGCCTCGGCTGCCAGCCCAAAGCCCAGCCCGACGCTGCCCGGCGGATCCCAGAACCCGCAGCTTACCGTCGATCAGTCTAGTCTGCTCCGGGATCTCTCCTGCTCTTCGCCCACCTCACACCGTCTCCGGGAGGGCGCTTGAGCGACGGCCAACGACAGCCAATCGCCGCTCTCGGATCCCTCTAACAACCAATCGCCCTTGCGACTGACGGAACTCATGCGCGACCAAAACACGGAAGGGGCGGGAGTGAGGGGCGGCGGGACGCGCGGAAAGGTACCGCTGCTGGCGCCGCGGTTCTCCTAGCGTGGCGCAAGCGGGGATCCCTAGGGCCCGAATTCCCCCAACTGCGCAGGCTCGGCCCACGGCACCCACTGGGCATGCGCAGAGCTCGGGCTGAGCGCACAGAGGGGTCTCCGACCTTCTGTTGGTTATCAAGCTAGCTGGCCGCGTGGGCGGTGAGGCGGAGGAACAGGTGGAGGAGACCGGGGAGGCGGAGGAACAGGTGGAGGAGACCGGGGAGGCGGAGGAGGAGGCATGCGAGGCTCCGTGCGCAGCACAGCAAGCCCCGCTCAGCCCAAACTGGGGGTCCTTCACCTTCTTAATCTTACTGTTTCTTAAATATCAGTATTCCTTGTGGCATCTCTTTCCCCTACACCTCACCTCCTGTGTCACCAGGCTCAGTGAATGACTCCTTCAAGTCAGAAACCTGGCGGTCATGGCTGATTCCTCCCTCACACGTAGCATCCAATGCATTGCCAAGTCCTGTAAATGCTACCCCCTTAAATACAGGATCTCTCATGTTCATCCCCCGTTCTTGATGTTCGCCGCCCCCTCTCTAGTCCATTAACAACGTCCATCCCGGATGTCTACACTGACCTAACTGGTTCCACTGCGGGCACTCCTACTTCCCTCCAAACCATTCTCGACGGAGCTCGCAAGTGATCTTTACAAAGAGCAAATCTGATCAAACCACCACCCTGCTTTAAACACTCAAAGTCATTCTGTTGTCCTCAGGACAAAGCCCCAAACCATACTGAGGCTTTCTAGACTGTTCAGCATCCGGGTCCTGCATACTTCTCTCCACCATGTCTTGAGTGCTTCTCGAACTCACTCTCTGCTCTCCAGCCCCCACATTTCTTTCAGTTTCTCCACCACACCTAGCCGCCTTTCCTCCCCTGCCTTGTACTTGCTGTTTCCTCTGCCTGGAATAATCTTCCCTTTCTCCCCTTCCCACATATGTTTGATTCCTACTCATTCTTCTGGTCTCAACGAAGATGCTTCTTTTTCCTGGAAGTCTTCCTGGACATCCCTTTCCTGCATTTCCCCATTACAGCTCTATCATGCGGTATTGTATTTGCCTATTTATGTGTCTGCATTCTGCACTAGACTCAGTTCAGTGAGAGAGGGCAGGGATTGCGTGTGTTTTTCACGTTTATAACCCCATTGTTTAGCCTAGTGGCTGAAACTCAGTAAGGGTCCAAGACATATTTGTTTAAAAATTACGTACCTTAGTAAAGTTCATTGGGATTGATATTTACTGCGTTATATTTTCTAACCTAAATATAAACCTATATAATTTATATAATCAGAAAACACCTTACATGTTCAACATAAATAAAATGAACTTAAAGATGCCATTAAAAATAGCAGGGCTTCCCTGGTGGCGAAGTGGCTGAGAGTCCGCCTGCCGATGCAGGGGCCACGGGTTCGTGCCCTGGTCCGGGAAGATCCCACATGCCGCGGAGCGGCCGGGCCCGTGAGCCGTGGCCGCTGAGCCTGCGCGTCCAGAGCCTGTGTTCCGCAATATGAGAGGCCACAACAGTGAGACGCCCGCGTACCGCAAAAAAAAAATAGCAAAGCCAGGGACTTCACTGGTGGCGCAGTGGATAAGACTCTGAGCTCCCAATTCCGGGGGACGGGTTTCCATCCCTGGTCAGGGAACTAGATCCCACATGCAGGCAGCAACTAAGGAGCCCTGTAGCTGCAACTAATGAGCCTGCCTGTCGCAACCAAGACCCGGCGCAACCACATAAATAAATATTTTTTAAAAATAGCAAAGACAGAGTAAAATCAGAATTTTGTGCATGACGTTTGTTACTAACAACAAACAATGAATTAAACTTCGTCCCTATTTTAAAATATAATTCAAGAGTAACAAAAATATGTTTTATCAACTTTATCCATTCAAAAGCACATAGGTATATTAATACTTCATAAAATGCCAGCTGTATTTGAATTCAGATTTACACCACTAAAGATGGCTCTTAGCTTTAATTTAGCAATTTCATGAAGAAAAATCCATTCACTGAGCTGTGTAGACTCAAACAATATTTATAGAGCAAAAATTTCAGGATATCTCTGGAATCCACGCATGTTTCCAAAATTTGAAACGGTGTATTGCTGTCTAACATAGGTCACTTCCATCTCAATCTGCTTCTCTTGAAAACAAGACACAATTTTGGCTGGATAATTCAAGACACATCCAGATATTTGTTCTTTAAAAGCTGCCAGAAAGGGCTTCCCTGGTGGCGCAGTGGTTGAGAGTCCGCCCCAGTCCGGGAAGATCCCACATGCCGTGTAGCGGCCAGGCCCGTGAGCCATGGCCGCTGAGCCTGCGCATCCGGAGCCTGTGCTCTGCAATGGGAGAGGCCACAAAAAAAAAAAAAAAAAGGCTGCCAGAAAATCTTAAAGCGTAATTCATACTCATCAAAAACTGTGGATCTCTTCTGAAAGTATAAAGTGAATTAGGTTATGTTTTGCGTTTCTTTTGCGTTCATTTTCTTAAATCCCTATTTCTGAAATGTGATCAGGCTTTTTGTCACTACTAAATATGTGATTGCATTGAGTTCTGGGCAGGTCACCCTAGAAACTGAGTACATCTTCCAGTCACCATCAGCTCAATCCACAGGTCTAGTGGGAATCTGAATACCTGCCCTCCCATCAACAATAGTTTCTTGTGAAATTTCAAGTTCAGTGTGTTTGGCCGTCTTGTCATACTGGTAAACAAACTGCTCCTCTGTGAACTATTAAGAGTTGTATTTCTTAGATCAGGGGAAGTAGCTTGATAAACCTTTGAGTTTTGAGGACCTAGAATTTAGCATACCAATATATGCAAATTAACCAAACATCCATATTCTGCCACCCTTTCTAAATATTCCATTATTCTGTGACTAGCGCGGACAGGAGCATGGGGAAAATGCACAACTCCAAGCTGCCTAGCCAAAGGCAGGTGCCCTGAAGCCCCCTGCGATATAGGTTAGTCAGAATGGCAAGGCTGGAAGTGAGTGACCTGGATGATTATCTAGGCCACCCTTCATTTTAGAGATGAGGAAGTTAAGGTTCAGAAAGCAGAAGTGGACTTCTCAAGGTCACTTGCTGTGTCTGTGGTACACCCAGGTTTTCTGTTCCTGGTCCAGTGCTCTCTCTGACATCCTGCAGCAGCTTATCTGTTTCAAGTCCTGTGTAAGATCCCAGAAAACAGGAACCAGCGTGCTAGAGTTTCCTAGTATCCACAACTCCCTGAAATTTGCCCACATTTAGGAGTGAAAGACTTTTTATTACGATGAAACCCTTATAAGACTTCCCCCTCCCAATCCGTCTCTTCTGAGGCAACAGCTCACACTTATTCAGCACCGACTGTATGCCAGCCAAGTTCTAACCCACAACCAAATGATAGTTACTTTTATCACAGTCCCCACTTTACAGATGAGAAAAGTGAGGTGCTCTAAGTTTACATATCTTGCCCAAGGTCACAAAGATAATTAGTGGAGCTGGGACTCAAATCCAGGCAGTCTGGATCAAGAGGCTGTGCTCTGGACTCTCCTATATTCTAGAAGGAGCAGCCTGTTCAAGGAAGGGGAATGAAGATGCCCTTACTAGCCGATGGACTTTTTTTTTCTGATTGACATTTTTGCTACAACTTCACCCTTCAAAGACGCTTGTTCTCCCATCCTCTCTCTACATGTCCCATCCTCCCTGCAGGAACTTCGTAGACCCAATATATGTGTCACCGACCCCATCTCACCATCTGGGCCCTGTCTCTGATCCTCCCACTCCAACACCACAGCCTCGCTGCCCATTCGCCTGTCAAAGGATGACCAGTTGTCCAGTTTATAAACTCCAATTTGACTTTAATAAATTAAATTCCAGGCCATCACACAGCAATGGACATCATCATCTCCCACTATACAGAGGTGCAGCTCTGCTGTTGCTCCATCATCACACACTCTGTAAAAAAAGCCCCTAAAGCCATCTCTCGGGGAAAGGCTTCCCATCAGGCTCCTGGCTCCCTCCTTCCAACAGAGCCACTGCTCACAGAGAAGGCATCAAGTACAAAAACGGTAACAAAGGGGGAGGGAGGGATGAGGAGCAGAAGGGGAGGCAGGGAGGTGGGGAGTACCTGCCCCCCATCCCGGGCACCGGCCCGGCTTTCTATGAGCTGTCAATGTCCTCAGAGGCAGACATTGGTGCTGGTCGGAGTGGGGACCTGAGGGAGGTGAGGGAGCCCCATCCGAAAGGGAATTGCCTACCCTCCTGGGATAGGGAAGAAGGGTCACCTGGGAGAGATGCCCTCTATTACCTGTTCACTGAGGGTCCGGGACCACACATATAAATAGAAAAGAGAATAAATAAGGGAGGAAGGATCAGCTGAGGAGCCGAGCACCCCAGGACTCCTCTGAGGGGCCAGTGCCAACAGCAGGCCAGCGGGTCCGAGGATCGCCCACACGCACCAGGACAGAGCCTCCTCTTTCTCCGGGCCACCCGCTCCCTCCTCTGTGTCCTCAGCAACGGGTGTCCACCTCTCACACACTTCCCGTTGCAAGTCCCCTTCCAACTAGCCCCAGAGCCCAGGGTGGACAGGGCTTCCTGGAACCCAGAGGGCTTCCCTGGCCCAGGCTACCGGGAATCCAGGAAGGGGAATGGAAGGGAATGTGGGGAAGGGGCTGAGAGGATGCCTGCCCTCTCCTAGCTCAGGAGGTGAGCAGGGCCCTCAGAGCTGGGGGCTGGGGTTGCCATTGGCCTTAGGTTTGGATTTGAAGGAAAAGCGCTTGATAAGACGGCGAGAAAAGCTGCCAGCCTTCTTTCGGACGCTGGGTGTGGCCGTCGCGTTGGAGAGGTCATCGTGTGATTGGCTCAGACCGGCTTCCTTCTGACGAGGCCTCCGGCGGAAGATGAGCTTAGTGCCACTGCGCAGGAAGCTCACTGTGAGGGGAGAGGGGAGGCTGAGGCGGAGAGAGGGGTTCCACGGGGTGGGGTGAGGAGGGGAGCAGAGAAAGGACAAGCATGAAGGGGTCCAAGATGCAGAACAGAACAAACATGCCCTTTATCCTTCCTGAGGAAAACATGGTGATGCTCCTGACCACCGCCCCTGAGGTGGAATGTCACGGGGCTGGCTGCTCCGTGAGGACAGATTGATGATTGGGCCTCTTTACTATGGAAAGACAAAGGCGGGGCAAAGGGTGTTCCTAAAAGCCATGAAGGGACAAAGTGGGTTGACGCTGACTTGCTGACCAAATTCCAGGATGTGAGCAGGAAGCAGTGTGTCTGGAAAACTTCAAAGAGGTAAATTCAGGACGAATATAATGAGAAGGGTGTTTACACGGCAGGCTTCGGACTTAGGACTCTCATTATCCCAAGAAGTGATGCAGGCTTAAATCATAAATAGTTATAAATACTCGTGAGTGATAGACTCACTGGCAGAGGGATGTGGACGTCTGGGGGCAAGCCCTTGAACCTGAGAAATTAGAAATACCACAGCTGTGCACAGACGGTGTCACTGCTAGAGGGGTACTCCTAGGGTTGCCTGGGGTAGGAATTCTTACACGCATAGGGGAGAGAGTTAAGAATGAAAGGAAAGGGTGATGGGCGAGAATAAGGGAAGGAGGATATGCGCTTAGATCCAGGAAGAAAGAAAAAAGGGAGGTAAAAGGAAATATTTTTACATCTCTTCTTATCACCCAAGCCTGTTAGATCCAAGCCAAGACTCAAGACATCAAGTTCCCCCCTCTCTACTCAAGCTTGGCTGAAACAGGCTGGGAACTCTGGGATCCCTTAGGGGAGGAAGGAGGAGATTGGCCCGAGGCTCCTATGTCCCTTAGTGTCCAGTGGGACCCAGGTGATGATACTGGGTATAAAGAAGCGGGGGGGCTGCCAATATCTCCCCACCTTTGTGATCCTTGAGGCTGCGGGTTTCCAGCGCACCAGTAGACCCTGTTTCCGACTCAACGTCATCCACAGAGGGCCTCTCAGAAATGTCCGAACGTGTTGTCTCATCTGCTTCCTGGACACTCGTGGGACTGGAGAGGGCATCTAGGGGTCCTGGGGACATGGCTGGTGGGTCTGAGGGAGGTGAAGAGGGACCTCCACTGGGCCCTGCATCATCCTGCATTGAGGCTTCCAGGGATGCCGCATAGCCCAGGGATAGTGCCAACTCGTCCTGGGCAATGGGCACCTGGCAGGAGGGACAAGTTTTAATGGGCAGGAGTGACCAATGAGGGTTCTCTCCCTAGCCCAGCTCCTCTCCCCAGAGCCCCGTTACCTTGGAAACCCCGGAGATGATGAGTGTGCTACGCTTGGTGGGTGTCTTCTTGGCTGCCCGCCCGCTGGGCTCAGTCAGCTGGCGAATGGCTGTCTCTGCTACAGGGTCCAAGCCGTTGGAAAGGTGGCTCTCCCCTGCTGGAGGATGGATACAGGGCATGGCTAGCCTGACTCCTCCCCAGCTCCTTCTTGGACCTGAACTCCTGTGCCCCACCCAAAATGGTTTTTGACTCTGGGGCCCGGGTGCCAACCACCACTCACACTTCCCGATTCCCTACTCACGGCTGCTGCTGTGGGAGGTACTGCTGGGGCCACCGCTCTCGCTCAGCACAGTTGTTGTCTTCTCAGTCACCTCCACCTTGGACGGGGAGCGGGAGGGGGAGTCTGGTGGGTGGGGGAGGGTCAGTGAGCTGGGAGCTGCTTTAGAGTGGCCCCCACCCCCTACCGTCTTTATTGAGATGCAGACTTTGGTTGACTCAGAGGGTAGGGATGACTAAGGGATGATTAATCACAGGAGTGACTAAGAAGATGCCATGGGGACAAAAAGACACCACAGGAACCAATGGGAGCGTGGGAAAGTGCCACGGGGCCCACCAAGGGCTCGGAGAGATGCCATGAAAATGTTGAGTGTGCAGAGATGGCAAAGGGGCCCAGTGGAGGTAGGGGGAATTCCATGGGACCCCTAGGGATGGAAGAAATGTCATGGAGGGCCCCTGGGAGTGGGAGAGTTGCCAGGGAGGCCACTGGGTTTGTTGGAGGGTCCCACAGGGTGCTGGAGGTTGAGGGGCGAGGGCGGGGCAATTGGGCAGCTGGGGCTGGGAAAAGGGAAGGGGAGACACATGTGAAAAGACAGAGGGGGGAAAAAAAAGACAGAAGGGAACTTGGGGAGGTGGAAGTGTGAGAATACTGTAGGAGGGGCTGGTAGATCCAGGATTGAAGAGGGAGAGGACTAGTTAGGGAAATGGAGGGATGCAAGGGAAAGTTTGAGAGAGTCAAAGACAATGAGGAAGATGTGGTCGGAAAACAGGGAGAGCCGGAATTAGGGCTTTCCTTGCCCTTTCCCTGTCCAGCCACGGATCTGCAGTCTGGGGCCCCTGGCTAGAGCTGGGCTCCCAGGCTCCTCCTCTTTACCTAATTTGCCATCTACCCGGGGCCGGGACTGGACGGTGGTGACTGTGGTGACAATGGTGCCATCGGGCATGATGGTCCGGTCAAGCTCAATCTTCTTGGTAGGTGTGATGCTGGGGCGTGGAGTGGAGGGGGTGGGAGTGCCCAGGTTCCGGGGGGAGCCCTCCTCATACTGAAGCTGCCGAGGGGTGGAAGTGGAAAGAGGCAGGGCCTCAGAGACTGGTCTTCCCCCCACCCCCGTGTCCTCCCACCTCCCCCCAGGGGCCAGCTTCTCACCTCTACTGCCATGGTGGCTGCCTGCCCCAGGGCTTTACCTGGCCCAGGGGTGAGTGGGCACACCTGTCTTCGGGACAGTGGTCTGGAAGGGGAGGCCACAGACATTGTGGCCTGGCCCAGGAATTCAGCTGGGGAAAGGGGTGGCACTGTGAGCTGGGGCCATGACCAGGCCCTGCTCAGCACCCACCCAGAGGTGCTCCTTCCTGCCCCATACTCACTGTCTCCACAGCTGCTACTCCTCAGCACTTTGAGGATCAGCTCCCGGCTCTGGGGCCCCAGATCCCTGTGGCCAAGAAGAGGTGGGGCAGGGAGGGGGGAGATTAGCAAACTGAATCCACCCTTGAGTCGATCACAGGCCAGAAGCAGACAGAGATGGAGGTAAATAAGATAGAACAAGTGCTGCAATCATCCTCCAAATATGGTCTCTTCCCAAGAGAGTGGGATGGGGCAGAGCAGGGACCATACTACTCAGCCAGGCATTCAAATCCTCCATGCTCCTGCCCCATCCTGCCTTCGCAGTCTCCCTCTATGGCAAATCACCCTCTTTTTCCTTTGCTCAAGCTGTCCCCTCTGCCATGAACACTTCTCTCTAACACTCTGTTAAAATCCTACTCTTGGGCTTCCCTGGTGGCACAGTGGTTGGGAGTCCGCCTGCCGATGCAGGGGACGCGGGTTCGTGCCCCGGTCTGGGAGGATCCCACATGCCGCGGAGCGGCTGGGCCCGTGAGCCATGGACGCTGAGCCTGCGCGTCCAGAGCCTGTGCTCCGCAACGGGAGAGGCCACACAGTGAGAGGCCCGCGTACCGCAAAAAAAAAAAAAAAAAAAATCCTACTCTTGCTCGAAGGTGTGATTTAAATGCCACCTCCTCCATGAAGCCCACTCTGATCCTTAACCTATGGGAATTAAGCTCCCCCATCTAAGCACTTCCACGGCACTTTGTGTAAACCTGGACTGGAGCACTTATACCATCTTCTTTACGTACACCTGTCTCTGCTTCTAGCCTGCGATCAACTCAGGGCGGGGGTGTATCTTGGTTATATCTGGACTAGGCCAGGCCCTGGCAGACAGTAGAGGCTCACACCAAGGTTTACTGAAAACAGAGCTGATTCATGCCAGGGCTCTGCTGGAAGGCTCTGATCCCCAGTCCAGCTGTGGGAGCAAGGGTGGGGGCTGGGGAGTCACTCCTTACAGTGCCAGGTCCTCGCTCCACTCCACCTCGGGCCCAGCCCTCATGGGCTTGGTCCACTTCTGTTGCATGGGGTCGTCGAGCTCAGCTACACAGCACACTTCCCCAGTGCCTGTGGGGGACCGGAAATTTGAAAACGCTCAGTTCCAAGCTGAGAGGCCACGCCCTTGGCAGGGGCGCCGGGGGCACCTGCAACCATAGCCTCGGCAGTCCCCCAGAAGATTCTGGCTCTTACCTTCCAGCTCACGTCCCAGGTGAGATGCTCGAAGCTGCCTTAGGAATAACCGGGTAGGTCTGGGGATGGCTGGCTGGGCTTGGGGCACCATAGGTGGCTTCTCACTGGGTACCTAAGAGCAGAAGGAGGTAAAAAGAGCAAGAATCCCGACACAGTACCCTGGGGACAGTATGCATGCAAACTATCTGCTTTGAGCACCTACTCACCAGGCCCCCAGGGGCAGAGCAGGCCCTGAGGTTGACCATCATAGCTGGCTGGGTGCTGACTATGGAATCCTCGATCAGCTCCTCGATAGTGGAGAGCTCTACTTGCTCCTCACCTCTCTGCAGGGCGGAGAACAAGGAGGTGAGGCCCCCCAGCTCCGCCTCCCCCTCCCTGTTCTGCCGCTTCTCTCCCAGCCCTGCCCCCTTACCTCCCTGTTCTGCAGCTTGGGAAGCACTGTCAGCCTGAGATCTGGGCGATCCGTGAAGGCCCAGGATACAAGCAGGCCCTCGCCAGGGATTTCCTCCAGGTTGACTTCCAACTGGGGACAGGGGACAAAGGGACTGGGTTGACTTGCCCCACTCCTCCAACTACTCCCAACCCCACCCCCCAGGACCCTCCCTTCCCAAATTCTGTCTTAGAGAGGAACCAAACTGAAAAGGCTGAGGCAACTGAACCGCCCGCCCCCTCCCCAACTCAGTTTCCCACATCCTCCTCCACCTGTGTTGGTGGCAGTGTCAGAGTGACGTGGTAGGTCTCCATGGAGACGGCAGCGGGGGACTGCTGGGTCACAGAGACTGGAAACATCACCTCCTCAGCACAGAGCTGGCAATGCAGCACCTGAGACAGGCGAGGCACGGAGGCAAGGAGGGTCACACACGGAGGAAGAGTGCTCAACTTGGCCCTGCCCTGTCCTGCCCGACAACGGGTCAGCAGACCCCTCTCCACTTCGGTTTTCCTTGGGAATCACCTTTTGGGGGTCATAAGCCCATAAAAGAATGATAAAAGCCAAAGACTCCTCTCTCCAGGAAAATGCAAATATGCACACATGTACTACAGTTTGCAGGTAACTTTAGTGGGATTTTCAGACCTCCTGAAGCCAATCCTGGGATCCCTAAGGCATTCAAAGACTTCAGGTTAAGAACGCTCAGACTAAAGGGAACTCAGGATCAGCCCCCACTCCAGCCCTAAAAGAAGACAGTGCCCATCAGACCCTTACCATGGTGCGCTCTGATTGGTCTGTGCAGGTCACATGACTGATGCTGGCTTTGGGTGGGAGTTGGGGCACCTCCTCAAAGGCGATTTGGATGGAGCTCTGAGGGAGTAACGTGGGCATAGGATCAGGTCTCTGGCGCTGCCCCCCACAGGGCTGGCCTACTCAGTTGCTGGCTAGGCCCTGGCACTGCGGAGGCCTCAGCTGCAGGCTGGCTTCTGGCCCCTCCTTGGCTCAGGGCTTTAGGACAGCAAGTGTTTCCCTTGAAGCCCGCCTTTCCAGGGCCTGCAGCTGCTAGGGAGAGCTGGGAAGCTAGACCGCCTCAGAGACCACATCACCTTGAGCTGAAGACCCTAGACTTCTCCTGGAATGCCAGGAGCCTCCCTCTTCTCCCCCACCTTCCTCTTCATCCCCGCCCTACCCCGGAAGAAAGTTGTGCATAGAAAAAAAATAATAAAGGTGTTGGTGCCACCTGTATATCGTAGCTGGGCAGAGACACAGCTGAGCTAAGGATGAAAGCAGTAGGGTCCCTTATTCAAGACAAGAGCTAAACCTTCTTCCAGATAAACAGGATGTAGAGGCATAAGAGTATGACTCTATCCATATTCTTGGAGATGAAGACTAGCTCAGCCTGGCCTTGGGGAACTTTACCACAGGAACTGGGAAGAAAAGCAAGCTCAGAGGGCTCAAGGGCCAGATACTTGGCTAATTCCTCAAGGCAGACAGCAGGATGGCTTTAGGGAGCAGAAAGCTGCTTAGCTTAGGTGTCGTAAGAGCTTCCTAATTCTTCCACAGCAGTGGAAGCCAACTGCTGCAGCCCCATCCAGAGAGCAGGACGGGAAGAACTGAGGAGGGGGCACAGACAGCTGGCAGCTCCTCCTAGGGTCTTGGGATGGGAGGAAACAAATCCACAGGGCTCATTTGCCTGGCAAACCAGGGAAAGCCAACTTCTCTGCTACTGTAGCGGTCTTGTTCAAAAGCCAGGCCAAGGGAGATGGATGCTGGGAACGCCAGTCTCCCCACCCCCTGCAAGGGAGGCTAATGTCCAGCTGAGTCAGCTGTCCTGGGGAGTCAGTCCTGACCCGGGGACAAGGTACAGGGAGAGCTGGGTGGAGGGTTGAGTTCACGGCATAGACTGACAGATGCCATCTGGCTTTCAGGTCAGCTGAGCAGAGGAAGCAGAGCAATTTCTTGCGTGGCCACTTCTGTTTCCAGGCATCTGAGGAGCTAGTGGAGTAAAACCCTCAGACTAGTGGTGGCTGGAAATGGAGAACCCTCTGAGCCAGGGGCTAATAGACCGCGAGGGCCAAGATGAGTGTGGACCCCAAGAGAGGGAGGTCTCCACCTCCCACCCCACCTCAGTCTTATGACCACGCTTCCTGCCCCACTTCCTGGGAGGCCAGCTGCCCATGGTGCAATGGGAGGAAGTAGGCTGGGTTAGTCTGTGACTGACCCTCAAGGGGCAGCTCTAGGCTCATCTACTGGGCGGGGCATGGAATGTCAATCTCCTTTCCACCTGAATACCTTTCCCTAAACACAGACACTGCAGGGAGCATGGAGAAGGACGCGTTAGACTGCAGCAGTGAAATTACTGAGGGATGGGGTAGGGGGGAATTCAGGCTCCCCGGAGACCTGCCTGATCACACCAGGGATCTGGGGCATGAAGTGCTGACTGGGTGTGATGGCATGAGGACCAGGCAAATTCCTTCCACAGGTGCACATGTCTCCCTTCTAACCCCCAGCAGCACCACCCACCCACCCAAGCCACACACACAACCAGCACCCAGGCTGGGAGGAAGTGCCCTGGGGCACAGGGATTAGCGTTGCTATGAGAACAGCAAGTTGTGCACTGGTCTGGAGCCAGAGAGTACCTAGACCGCAAGAATAGAGGATTTGGGACACAGCCGGATTTCTACAACCTCCAGCCTCACTTGCACCCTTTTCTCTGATCCCAGAGGAAAAGAGAGGCCATAGGGTTCCCCAGTTGCTCCCCACCCCCATACGTGCCTCCTGGCCTGAGCAGTCCCTCCTCTAGAAGAAAAGGCTGAGTGACGGGACCACCTAGGTCCTCCTGTCCAACTCACCCCATCCCTGCAGGCCTGCTCGTTCAACGCTCGCACCCAAGCCCGCTGCCAGTTCTCCCGGAAAGACTTGAAGGCGAAGAGCGACGCCAGGAGGCCCCTGACGCCTGGCTCCTCAGGGGCGCCGGCCCGAGTCGCCCGCAGCCTCAGCAGCGAGCGCCAAGCGCCCAGCTCCCGCAGGGAGCCGGCGGGCTCGGCAGCTAAGGCGGGTCCCGGGCCCCGGCCCCCGCGGGCCCGCGCCAGCCACAAGCCCCGGGCATACTGCAGCAGCCAGCCCAACACCGTAAGCAGCGAGGCGGCGAAGAGGACCAGCAGGGCCGCCCAGCCCACGTCCCGCTGCCCCCAGTCTGGATCCATGCTCCGCGCGGGCTCAGGTCCCGGTTCCGGCTCGGGCTCAGCCGCTGCCCCGGGGGAGCATGGCCCGGGCGGGCCGCGGGGCGGGGGCGGGCTCCCCCGGGGCTGGGCGCGCGGGATCGGGGGCTCTCCGGGGCTGGGTGCCCGGGACTAGTGGGTGCCACAGATCGAGGAGAGGAGGTTCCTGGGGGATCGCGACGCCGGGGTCCCTCTCTCCGGAGTCCGGGGCCCTCCTCAGTTGGTCCGGCAGTCCAACCCGCGTTAGTCGCCGGCCAGCGCCCGACTCCTCCCACGGCGGGGGCCCCACCGGACCCGGGCGGGGACTCGTCTGCGGGGACTCTGGGGCTCGCAGGCAGGCACCGGCTCCGGGAGGGCTGCGTGCGCAGAGCTGACACTGACAACACGGCCGGCCCCCCCGCCCCCATCCGGCCTTAAAGGAGCCGCACCCGCGGCGGGCGGGGCTTAGTGAGCCCGGCGTTCCAGCGCTAGAAGAGGGTGGGAGGAGGAGCGGAGAGCGGAGGAGGTTCTAGGGTTGGAAATAGGCGGGATCTTTAACTACCCCGCCCCATCCTGGAATCGGGGGTACTCCTGCTCCCCCGAGCTCAAGGCGAGAGTAAGCAAGAGTAATTTCACTCACCTGAGATGACGCCTTTGCTCTCCCTTACGTTCCTTAGCTTTCCATAGTTTGGACGCCTGTGGGGTTAAAAAGGAGGTGACCCCTGTGGATAGCATCAACCCCTTATCCCAACACTCCCAGGCTCAGCAGCTTCTTGGTTCCTATGTCCTGGCGGAAGCTAGGCCCTAGGTATGTAGCTGCAGAGCATTCCTCCTAGATAGAAGTGACTGGCAGAGGTCCAGCCGATACCAACGCGAGAGGAGCCAGAACCTGAACCTGGTAGAGGTTGAGAATAGAACATGGAACATTGAACCCCCTCCTCCACCCCCATCCTCTTCCCTCTGGAGCCAGGACCAAGGGACACCCTATTAACCTCCTTGCTCGTGTGGGTTTATTCTGGAGATATTTCCAAAGCCTGGGGCTGCTTCTGTTTTTAAAAATAATTTATTTCCATAGTAACAGCTCCTGCCTATGGAGCACGTGTAGAGGGGGTGGCAACGAGGAGGGAGCTGGCAATGCAGCACTGGACTATCAGTAGATTCAGCCAGATAGACCCTGCCATCCAAATATGTGATATCCCAGCAAGCACCCCAAAAATTATGTTATAGGTACACTCTGGCCTCAGGATGCATCCCTTTTCCTAGATTTAAGGGAATGGATTCCATCCCTATAGGACAGAGGCTTGTCACTGCTTTCTGGAGGCAGGGGAAGGAAAATCCTACTAAAGGATTCAAAGGAATCCCCATTCCCTAAGAGGCCCTTTTTCTCCACATACATATGGCAGGCCTTCCTTAGGTAAACAGAGAGGCGTTAAGTATCTCTCTCCCAAATCCAGTCGTTAGTCTGAGCAGTGAGCAGATGGGAGTAAACAATGTCTTCTAAATTGCGGGGTTGCAGAGCTAAGCAGAGCCTGGCAGGTCAGCGACAGGGTGCCTGAGCCACAGGAGGTGGTAGGAAAGCTTGGGGCATCCCCAGATTTCACTCTAAGGAATGGGGTAGGGTGATGGGGTAACCTTGCTGTGACCTGCCCATGCATTATCACTGGACCTCCAAAACCATAGAAGATTCCTAGAGTGTGGATTTTTAATCTTGAGGGGAGAAGAAATGAAGGGAGGAGAGAACTCAGGGACACAGAAGGAAGCTGTCAGTGGGCAGAGCAGCTAGGGCTAGGGGAGCAGGTTATGTGGAAAGTCGTCCAGGTACAGTTTCACTATGAAGACCCTCTTCCCCCAAGAACCCTTTTCAGGGTTCTTCAGAGTTCATCTCAGGTCTCTGAATTGTTGGGTTTACTTCAACTCCTCCACTGAGCAATTGGTCCTGTGCTGCCAGATACTGCTTCACAATTCAGTCTTATATTAGTCTCTCCACTTAGTCCTCCCAATCTTCCATCCACTTGTTACTAGACCTCTTGTACTTATTTCATTCTGCCTTATAGCCTAGCTGGTTGTTTATATGTCTGTTTTTCCCACTCACCAGAAAGCTGCTTAAGAGTGGAGACCCTGTCTTACTCATCTCTCTTCCCTCATATTGACTCAAGGTGCTTTAATATGATGAAGTAGACTCCCTGGGGAAAACAATTACATTTATATCACTTTGTGTCCCCACAGTACTTAAAATTTTCCCATGCACATAGTAGGGGTTAGCAAATTCTTTGTAATTTTAAGAAGTCTAACAGAAAATATTCCAATATACATGTAAACACTGAGAATTCCTATATTGTTTCCATCTTTTGAAAACCCATTCATGTCATCCAAGTGGAACGGGAGATCTTGGGGCTTGCTATCAGCTAACAACTTTTGATAAACTGACAGGAGAGAGGTGGGAAGAAATGGTAAAAGAGTAACTCAGCTGCTTCTGAAGAGCCACAGATATGGTCCTGCAAGTGTCATAGATCCAGACTCTCCAAAGCTGTCTCATACGGACTTTTTCAGCACTGTGAAACATTTCTGGGACAGTCTTTGTCAGGCAATCAGCCTTAATAGTGCATTAGCTTTGCTTACTGGGAGGCACTCAGAGCTCCCCAGTAGGAGATGCGCATCTCAGACCTTGTCTACTCAGCCCAAGAAACCAGCTGAAACTCACCTGATCCATGGGTCCTAGGACCAGCTTCAGCATTTAGGCAGATGCTTTGAACTTGTACCAGGACAGGCACAAAATTTCAAGTGTGGCCAAGTCATGTGTGTGTTTGTTTCTCCTGGTGAGTCTGATAATCAACTGGGCATTTACCATCATGGGAACAAAAATATTCAGATTATATGACAAGTATCCAAGTAACCATGTTCTGATGGTAACATGTATGCATGGATGATGAACCCCCAGTGTCTTGTTTTTGAACAAGTATCCCCTACCCTCTTCCAGGGGGGTGCGTGGGGGAGGGCTAACAATCTCTGGAGAAGAAAGAGACAAAGGTGCCCAATGCCAAGCTGGGAAGGAAGAGTTATTAGGATTGGCCTCCTAATAAAACAGGAAGCAGTTACAGACTGTCCCTCAGACCTCCAGGGAGTCTCAGCCTGCTCCTGAGCAACAGGATAACTGAATGCTGCCTCCTCTGGGGCTCCAACAAGCTCCTCCTTTCCACCTGCTCCTGGCGTCTCACCTTCCCTGTTTGGAAGGCCCTTCCACTCTTGCCACCTACTGAAATCCTTAGAGACACTACTCTTCCTCAAGGTCCTCTCACTTCCCCTGGTCACAACTAATTGCTCTCTCCATGTGCTCCTACTGCCCTCTGTACCTCTTTCAGATCCAGACTCATTATGTGTGATGATGCCTTGTATACAGATATCTGTGTGTCCTTAGCCCCATAGGAACACACTGTGGAACAGAAAACACTTTGCCTCTAGGGAATTTCCAGTCTAAGAGGCACAGATGCACACTCATGCACCCGTGTGCAGGTACACACACACACACACACACACACACACAGAAAAACAATACCAGTGGGATAATAAGTACTGAAAATTTGGAGGAATACTACTATCAAGTAATTACTGGGATTACTTTATATACATGGTTTGAGTTGTTAATTAGAGCCACCTTCGAGTAGAAAGGACATTTCACATCTGTTTTTGAGAGACAGGAGGGCCTATCTTTGGCCTAAAAGGAGTCAACCTGACCCTGACTCCTTATTCAAGAGTGAACAAAATGTCAGCATACTTCAGTCGTCTCCCGCACTTCCTGGTAATGAGTTCTTCTCTGAGGACTAGAAATCATTTGCCACCTTAGAGCTTGTGTGTCTGTGAAAGAGAATGAGATGCTGGTGAACTGTTATTTGTAAGGAAACAGATGCCAAGCAAAAGGCACCCAACCTGGAGAAGAACCTGCTTGGGAATTCCTCAGACTTACTGGAAGCCAGCCACTTGTGGGTCTGGTTCTCCTACTTAGCTCTTTCCAAAGCCTCAGCCTCACCTCCTCCGACTGGGAGCCTGGCACAGTGCAATGATCCAGGACCAAAGAAAGTCTAGAACGGGGTTAAATCCAAGACCTGAGAGCATGAGGGTACTCCCAGCCCCTACAGTGCTGAAGTATCCCTCAGTGTTGCCCGGCAACTAACTGCTACTGCGGGGGCAGAAGGCGGGTGGGATGATGAAGGAAAAGTACCTGGCTCAATGACACGGAAAAACATGAAGTGGGAGGGGCTTTTCAAGTGTCCGCTCTTTACATTTTACATCATCTTCCAAATTGTAGCTGTGTTTCGGGGAACTGAGTTGTGTTTACCTTGGCTTCCTTCCCAACGCTGACTATGCTGGCGACAGGTTTTCTACACTGAGCAGGTGCTGTTCCACATCCTCATCCCGCCTGCCCTCCCCCTTGCTTCCAGTAGCCATCTTCCAGTCTCCAGAGGCGTCCCAGAGTAAACGCGGGGCACTGGCCCTTTAAACGCGACCAGCGAAGGCCGACGGAGCTAAACCTGACGTGGAACGAAGAGTAAGCGACGTCAGACACGTGGTACAAGGAGGCGCTCATCTTGGAACCGGGCAAGGAGTTTTTCCGCTTTGGGCTGTACATCTTTAATGTGATGTTAGGAAACTATCCGCCTTTGTTTGTCTTTCTTTAATTGCTTTTCCAATCCCCTCTTGATGATTCAACTCTCGAATAAAGGGTGTAGTTTACAATCACACTTCTGTCCCTACTCTTATGCCCATATTAAAAATGGCCGCCGCCTTCCGCAACGACAGTTGCTCTGCGAACTAGATCCGGGTGGAAACAGTGGGTAGGCAGATGCAGTGGGGCAGAGCCGAGGTTGCTTTATAGAGGCTCGCGGGAGTCCTGAGGGCGGCTCAGGTCAGAGTCGTTGGGTTTCGCTCAGGGTGGTGTGGGAAGATCCAGCCTGTGGGGAGCGGCCACTCCTTACTGCTGGGGCCACGGGGCTTCTGCCCAGCTTGCCCGTTAGCTAAGGAGGGGGCCGACCAGGCCCCCTGGCCGGTCACCATGTGGGCCTTCCCGGAGTTGCCGATGCCGCTGTTGGTGAATTTGATCGGCTCGCTGCTGGGACTTGTAGCCACACTCACCCTCATCCCTGCCTTCCGTGGCCACTTCATCGCCGCACGGCTCTGCGGCCAGGACCTCAACAAATCCAGCCGGCAGCAAATGTGAGGGGCCGCGCGCTGGTGCGGGGCAGTGGGGAAGGGGTGGGGCAGGGGCGGGGACTGGAGTGCTGGACTGCGAGCGGAGACGTAGTGCTAACCCAACAGCCAGCCCGGGACTCTGGGAGGTGGAGGGCAGATCTGGTTAGCATTGGGGAAGGGGTGGAGGCGGGAAGATGGGACCCTTGGGTGTATCTGGGACTCCAGTAGTGGTGCCCTTCCCCGCCCCCAAGTCAGGTTATGGTGATGCTTGCACTAGTGAGTGACCACGCCCCCTTTCCTCTTCCCCCTCCCCCCGGCTTGCTGCTGGGCCACAGCCCAGAGTCCCAGGGAGTGATCAGCGGTGCTGTTTTCCTTATCATACTCTTCTGCTTCATCCCTTTCCCTTTCCTGAACTGCTTTGTGGAGGAGCAGTGTAAAGCCTTCCCCCACCATGAAGTAAGTGGGTTAGTGAGGGCTGCTGCCTGTGGCTGGGACTGGGAGCTACTGGAGAGAGTTGGGGTTATTTGGGTGTGGCGGGGAGGGGAGGGACTGAGAACGAAAGAAAAGATGGGAATTCTTGAAAGGAACTGTGAAGTGGGAGTAGGCTGGAGCCATGACCTGCCCGAGCCCTCCCCAGTTTGTGGCCCTGATAGGTGCACTCCTTGCCATCTGCTGCATGATTTTCCTGGGCTTCGCGGATGATGTACTGAATCTGCGCTGGCGCCATAAGCTGCTGCTGCCCACAGCTGCCTCACTACCTCTCCTCATGGTCTATTTCACCAACTTTGGCAACACGACCATTGTGGTACCCAAGCCCTTACGCCCGCTTCTTGGCCTGCATCTGGACCTGGGTGAGTAGCACTGCCACTTCTGCCCCTATGGCCCCTACTTCAGGGCACCCTTACCCTGTGAGATATCCAGCAGAGCATCCTTCCTGGTGCTCCACATTCTCCTCCCTGTTTTGTCCCTGTGTTTTCTTAGATCCTTTTGTTGGCCTTTCATCCCATCCTCTATCCTCACCACTTTTCTCAGAAGAATATCCTTAAATTCTCATTCTACAGGTGGCATTACTTCTCTTACTGTTTTCTCCCCCCAGGGATCCTGTACTATGTCTACATGGGGCTGCTGGCAGTGTTCTGTACTAATGCCATCAATATCCTAGCAGGAATTAATGGCCTAGAGGCTGGCCAGTCGCTAGTCATTTCTGCTTCCATCATCGTCTTCAACCTGGTGGAGCTGGAAGGTAGGTGGGATTGGATTAGGGAGAGGAGAGAAGTCTGAGTGTTAAGGAAGTTGCCTGCTATCTGGCTTTGGGGAATTTGTTAAACGTGAGAAAGAAACTAAGATTTGTTAAATGTGAGAAAGGAAAATAGCAGCCCTGTCATTTATAACGGCATTGGCACTAATAGGTAGGCCATGGTCTTCTCCTACTGAGCATAAACAACTTCACAAAACCTCAGAATCAGACAGGGTCACTCTGTGACCGTGATAGAGTAAGACCAAAACTAGATCCCTCTGTAACCATGTCTGAGCATAGACAAAACCACAGGAACGCGGTGCATCTCACAAAAATGACCAAGATCCCCTTCTGGCTGACATGAGTGGTTGCTGCTTCCTTCCGATAACAACTCAATTCCTCTCACTTCTTGGATAAAAATTATTAAGATGCTCAATCATAGCATTATCTCTGCTGACAGCACCCAGTGCAGGGCAAAACTCTGCCTCCTTGCATCCTCCGCAGAATTATTTAAAACAAATTCTATAAAAAGTCCTCCTGGGCTTCCCTGGTGGCGCAGTGGTTGAGAGTCCGCCTGCCGATGCAGGGGACACGGGTTCGTGCCCCGGTCCGGGAAGATCCCACATGCCGGGGAGCGGCTGCGCCCGTGAGCCATGGCCGCTGAGCCTGCGCGTCCGGAGCCATTGCTCCACAATGGGAGAGGCCACAGCGGTGAGAGGCCCGCGTACCGCAGAAAAAAAAAAGTCCTCCTAACACCTCCTTACTGAGGCATCCCATGGTTCCCCATGGTGTGTGGGTTCCAAAGTTTCTCTTGTTTCAAGTCAGTAAACCCAGCTTTGACTACAGGCGTGTTGCTGGTGGTTTGTGGTTGATGGACATCCATAAGTACTTACTAAAGCTAAGCACTTTTAAAATGTGATCTCACTTTAAACTCTGTAACAGCTCTATGTGGCAGGTGTTTTCATCAGCCTTTTTTCACAGATAGGAAACTGAGGCTCAGAGAAGTTAAATGTGTTATGATCAAGGTCACACAGTTAGGAAGTAAAGCTGGTATTCAGACCTAGGTCTGAATGGTCTAAACCAAATGTAAGACAGTAACTAGTTTAGGAAGGGTTCATGAAAGAGGTGAAATATTGGGAACTGCTTGGATGACATAAAAGGGGTAGTGAGTTCTTGGGACTTAGAGAGGTGGATGATACAGCTTGGGACAGAACTCAGGGACAGACAAAAATAGGACCCAGGTGTGCAGGGGACGTGGCTGTCAACGTTTTCTTCTTTCTTTTTCCCCTGCTTCCAAAGGTGATTGTCGGGATGATCATGTCTTTTCCCTCTACTTCATGATACCCTTTTTTTTCACCACCTTGGGATTGCTCTACCATAACTGGTAAGTAGGCCTGTGGCTAGTGGGACAGCTATTTGAATTTGTGGCCAGTACGGTCCTCCTCACTGCGACCCATCTCCTGACGGAGAGGCTTAACCTGTGCATCTCTGTATTGAGTGTTTTCTGGGTCTTTTTGGTAATATTCTTAAATCTTAAATATTCTCTACCCAATTGTAGCTGGGGGCAGGTACTGTGGAGCCCCCAGGAATAGATGGATTCGGGACCTTGTTTCCTGGAGAGTTGCTGGGAGAGCTGGAATGTCCTCTGAGCCAGAACTAGGGTCAGGGCTAGCCCAGTGCGCAGGGTGTGTGATGTGAGAGAAAGGATTGCTAATGCCTCTTGCCACTGGCTCAGATCCTCTCCCCTACACAGGTACCCATCACAGGTGTTTGTGGGAGATACCTTCTGTTACTTTGCTGGCATGACCTTTGCCGTGGTGGGCATCTTGGGACACTTCAGCAAGACCATGCTACTCTTCTTCATGCCCCAGGTGTTCAACTTCATCTACTCACTGCCTCAGCTCCTGCATATCATCCCCTGCCCTCGCCACCGTATACCCAGGTAGCCGCTTTGGGGCTTGAAGGGGACGTCATAGCTTTTTCCCTTGGGATGCCTTAGACGTTTGCTGTGCAAAGGGAATGGGCCCAAAGAAGGGCTAACTCTTGCCGTGCAGTTAGCCCTTTATACATTACAGAGCACATTTAGTTCCATGATCTCATTTAATGTTCACAGCAGCTCTGATCACACAGAAGCAAGCAGCAGAGCCAGAAATAGATCTCAGGCTGTTTGACTCCACATTCAGTGCTCTTCCTATTAATTAAGCACAGGGAGGAGAGTTTTTTGAGTAGTGGCCCAGTCACATGAAGCTGTCTTCCCCTGCAGACTCAATACCAAGACAGGCAAACTGGAGATGAGCTATTCCAAGTTCAAGACCAAGAGCCTCTCTTTCTTGGGCACCTTTATTCTAAAGGTAACAGGGTAACAAGGAGGTAAGGCTCTAGGCTGCCATTCGGAATTCAGGGAATGGGGAACCTAGGCCTACATCACACCCAAGGGGAGTTTGGAAGCATTGAGCAGGTCCCCATTCCTGAAGTGTAGGTATTAGCTGAAGTTCTCTCCACTTTTGACCCCTCCAGGTAGCAGAAGGCCTCCGGCTAGTGACAGTGCGCCAGAGTGAGAATGAGGATGGTGCCTTCACGGAGTGTAACAACATGACCCTCATCAACTTGCTACTTAAAGTCTTTGGGCCCATGCATGAGAGAAACCTCACCCTGTTCCTGCTGCTGCTACAGGTGCAATGCTGTTGGTGATGTGACTTACATCTCCTTGTCTCCCTTTCTCTGTGGTTCTTACTGTAGTTCATTTCTTCTTACAGGTCGTGGGCAGTGCTGTCACCTTCTCCATTCGGTACCAGCTTGTCCGACTCTTCTACGATGTCTGAGTCCCCTGGTCCACTGTCCTTTGCTTCACAGCCTCCAGATTTCCTGACTCAGGCCGACCTCTTCCAGACCAAGATTGCCTCCTGGCCCAGGCCTCTCCCCACTTCATTCTCCTCCAGATTTTGTCCTCAGCATTCCCTTTCCCCTGTGATTATTGACATCCTGGGCCATTCTTGCCCTCTAATGACTATTGATTGGACTTCGCCTATGGCTTTCTTCTATTTGCCACTCCCCCTCTCCATCCCATCTTTGCAGCCTCCTAAGGTGGGATACTGTAGCTTTGATGCAATTATCCACAACTCTGACACTCAAGAAATATGTTGGGCCTGGGGATAGAACCCTGGCTGGGGATAGGGACACAGGCTCGAAGGTGACTTGACATATGACTATAAATTAAATATTCTGATGATTTAGCAGACTGGGGGGCCTGTGCTCCCAGTGGTGACAATAAACTGTCGTCTTTTTCTTGTTGTTCCTGTAGGTGTATCTCCTATATAGGGCATTTTAGGGTAGACTGGGAGGGTTGGTGGAGGCATTTCCTCGGAGAGGATGCCTATCTCTCTGCCCCATCCTTTTTCTTTCAGTACATCAGGCCCCTCCTAGCAAGAAGGGAACAGAAAGAACAGACCAGAAAGAACATGTTGAATAAATAGGAAATCCTGCTGCTCAGGTGGCATAAAGGGCCATAAGATCGGTGTTATCTGTTCTCTGGTATGGGGTTGGACTTTCAGGGGGTCTCATTCCTTCCCTTTTTCACTCTCCCTTTGCCAGGCAGGAGGAGGGAGTGACCAGACCTGGGACCGGAGGAAGAGGTAGCCGTAGTGTTGACCCCTTTCCTTTAAAAATCCTAGACCCGCACAGACTTCCCTGAGGCTCTTGAGGTGACTTCAGACTCCACCCTCTTTGTCTTCCGGCTCTGGTCTGGCCTGTAGGGTTTAAATCTGGCGCGCTTCACTTGGATTGGCTACACCCGGGAGTGGTTGGCCGACTGCTTGCTGCCGCTCCTCCTCGCCTTTTCCCCGGGCAAAAGGTTTTCAAATTCGGCCAATTGGCGGGCGCGTTCCCTCAGCTGAGGCGCGTCATCGAAGGGTTAACCGCAGCCAACCGGAGGCGGGTATTGGAGAAAAGAGCCAATCAGGAGGACGCGGGGGTGCGCCCTGGGGGCTTATAAGGGCGGCCCTTGGGCGCGCGCGGCAGCAGTTGGACTGCGGCGGACGGCTGTGCCTTAGCCTCGTGAGCAGCCCTCCTCTCCCTTCCTCTACCTCGCGCAGCATGTCGGGCCGCGGCAAGACAGGCGGTAAGGCCCGCGCCAAGGCCAAGTCGCGCTCGTCGCGAGCGGGCCTCCAGTTCCCCGTGGGCCGCGTGCACCGGCTGTTGCGGAAGGGACACTACGCCGAGCGGGTGGGCGCCGGCGCGCCGGTCTATCTGGCGGCGGTGCTCGAGTACCTCACAGCCGAGATCCTGGAGCTGGCGGGCAACGCGGCCCGCGACAACAAGAAGACGCGGATCATCCCCCGCCACCTGCAGCTGGCCATCCGCAACGACGAGGAGCTCAACAAGCTGCTGGGCGGCGTGACGATCGCCCAGGGAGGCGTCCTGCCCAACATCCAGGCCGTACTGCTGCCCAAGAAGACCAGCGCCGCCGTGGGGCCGAAGGCGCCCGCGGGCGGCAAGAAGGCCACCCAGGCCTCGCAAGAGTACTGAGGGCGCCCGCGCCGCCGCCACCGCCGCCGCCTGGCCCCTCCCCTCGCCACCACAAAGGCCCTTTTAAGGGCCACCACAACGCTCACGGAAAGAGCTGGGCCGCGTCGGGCTCCCGGCCGGGCGGCAGCTCACTCGCCCCCTCCGCGGCCCCGCCGCCGCCGCGCGGCCTGCCCCTCCCCCGCGCGGCTCGCTCCAGCCGTGGCTCGGCGGAGGGCGGCCGTTTGAACGCCTCTCGGTGCCAGGAGCGAGCTCGTGACTCGGCCGGCCTGGCCCCCGAATGCTGATGGGCTGCGGGGAGGCCGCGGCACCTTCTAGAAGGCTGGGCCGGCCGCGCTGACGCAGGGCCGGGGAGCGTGGTGGGGAAGGTGAGTCGGTGCGGACGGCCGCCGGCGCGGCCGCGCGCGCGCGTTCCCCACCAGCCCGGTGCTCCGGACGGGACTCGGTTGACGGCGGAGTCAGTCGGTCACTTCATTTGTCCCGGGACGCCCTTTGCTGCCGGATCCCGAGCCTTGCACGTCCGCGCTCCCTCCATCTCCACTCGCAGGCCTGTGCGCGTCCCGGAAGACACACTTCGCGGCGTGAGCATCTCCCGCGGTGTCGGGGTCTGCGGGAGTCCTGCCCCTGGACCCGCGCCCCTCCCGGCGGGTCCGCTCCGCAAGCCAAGCACCTAGATACCAGCACTAGTCCGTTAATCCCCATCTGGACTGAGTCGCCGTTGGCCTCGGAACTGGAATTTTGCAGCTAACCCATCCAAGACAGTACTTTAGGTATTGGGGGGTTTCAGATGGACTAATTTTGTTTATTAAAGGATTTTCTTTTTTAAACAGTGAGGTGTCTCTTCATTTTGCAGACGGGTTGTAGGATCGATGACTGTAGATTCCTAAAGGTAGTGGGGGAGGGGAGCTATCTGATACAAAGGCTTTACCGTTAACTGGAGCGGCAAATCGTAGATTATAAGATTATGGTTCTTTCTTGGTGTTCCCTGGGAGACAATTTATTCTGTCAGAACTACTGAGACAGAAACAGAAGCCAATGTATTCCAGGAGAACTTTGGACAGGGGTCTTAGCCTCTGAGGTAAGGAGCAAAGGGTCTTGTGTTTGTCCTTATCTTTCTTTCCTGCAACCCCATCAAAAACAAAGCCACCTTCAAATCTAGTTTATTAGTTGAGTTGGTTACATTCAAAGGCTGTGGCTTGTTAGATGTTTTTTCTCTAGAGACTAAGCCTCCACCTACTGAGGAGACAAGGCATCACCAAGGCCCCAAGTTGAGACAAGTCTCTAAGTCTCCGCCCCTGCAGTTCCATCCCCTGGGTAATCACCCCCCAGGTAACAGTGAGACTGGGGCACTGAGGGCTGGGATGTAGGCACGGGGCACCAGCAACCCAGGCACCTGTGCCCCACAGACCAGTTAGTGGGCATCGTTGAGCTGCCGTGCAACATCCAAGATGTTCTTGGCTCCTTTGTTCAGCAACAAGGTGGCCAGGCTGACGCCCAGGCTCTCAGCAGCCAGCTGGGCTCGTCGTGGAATGTTCCGGGCAGTGATGCCCACCAGCTGTGGATCATCCTCAGGGCCATCTTCATGCTGGGTAAGGGAAGGAGGGTAGGATTTGGTGAGCACAAAAGGGGAAGTAACATACAGACGTGTTTTTTACCCTCTCCGTCACCCTCCAGCCTTGGCACCTGGGCAGGGACATGGATGGTGGCCTGCATCGTCTCTTGCATGCTATCTGCGCCATTCAGACTCCAGACTCCTCCAGTCAGGTATAGCTGGGAAAGAAACAGTTGCCTCAGCATATTGTGAGAGGGAACTGCTTAGAAACCTGGGCTTTTCTTGCTGGCAGCTCAGGATGCACAGGAGAAATGCCAGAGTCCCTTCCCTGCCCTCCCACCCATCTTCCCCTGCTTACTTGCCCATCCTTCATAGCTGTATGCACTGCCACTGGCACACTGCAGCCTCCTTCCTGCAACAAGTTCTCCCTGTGAGCTCCAAGGACCCTTACCAGCACCCTGTAACCAGAGTCCTCAGAGATAACAGACCCCTCTAAGGACATAACTGAAAATGAGGTAGCAGCCCAGACCTGGGTCCTGTCCATACTTTGAAGGATGAGTTACCACTAAATACAGAGCAATAATTTGAGAAATCTCCCCACTACCCTTCCCAGCTCTCCAGGTACCCACCCCTCCACAAGAGCACAGGCCCTACCAGGTGCCTCAGGAAGGCCCGTTCAGCAATGCAGCGAAGCAAAGTCTCAGGATCATGCAACACACCCACCAGATCCAAGATGTCCTGGTCCTTGGCTCGAACTTCCACTCCCAGAGCCCCCTGATGGAAAAATAGCCTAAGATATCAGGGCCAATCTTTCCCCAACCAATGGAGCTAAGGATGGGAACCAGCCTACTTCCACCTGTTTGCCAGGTCCTTTTGGGCCAGTAGCCTCCCAAGGCTTGCCCCTCTCTGGGAGTGTTCTTGGTTGAAAACAAAAGAAAGGGACACATCAATACACGGCTTCCCTGGTCAAGCATACCTGACCCACAGCATACATGCACTCCTCAGGGTGCAGGATCTGTGGGGGCAGAAGAGGCAGTCAGAAGGGTGGAGGTGGGAGTGCCTAAAAGCACACAGCAGTGAGATGGGGCTTTTCTAGCATACAGAAGGGCTGGAGAGGCAAGAGTGGGAGTTTGGCCTCTGATCCCCAGTCTTCCCAACCTGGGACTCATTTCCAGCTTGCACTGTTAGAGGTGGGATTCAAAAAGAGAACACAGGCAGGAAGGAGATGAAGATCAACCGGGGCGTGAAGAGTGGCAGGCCCTACCTGCCCCACCCGGTTCTGCCAGCCCATGCGCTGCAGGCCAGCTGCGGCCAGGATGATGGCACTGAACTCCTGCAGCTCATCCAGCTTCCGAAGCCGTGTGTTGAGGTTTCCCCGCTGTGGAGAGGCGCTAAGGACCACAAGCTTTGGGCAGTCTGGAGCCTTATGCTGTTCCCTTTGCCTGAGTCTCTCAATCTGCTAACTTCTCACCTTTGAGTTCTCAGCCTAATGACAACAGCTAACACTTACCTCATACTTACTACATGCCAGACGCTTTAGATATGTCAATTCATTTAATTTTCACAACCCTATGACGTAGGTAGTATTATCATCTCCATTTTACAGATGAGAAAAATGATAGAGAGGTTTTAATTTATTTAATAACTTGCCCAAGGTTACAAGACTTCTGAGAAGCCTTCCTTGACTCTCAACTCTGTGTTTAGATGTTCCAGCTAGAAGCTTCCAGAGAATTCCCTACTTTGTGCACTGGAGCACTTAGCGAATACTATTTTGAAAATCAGTTTTACAAACATATAACATTGTAAAGATCAAAACGATATAGTGGAATATAAAATAAAAATGGAGTTATGGTTACCAAAGGGGAAAGGGGATGGGGGGAGATAAATTAGGAGTTTGGGATTAGCAGATGCAAACTACTATATATAAAATAAACAACAAGGTCCTATTATATAGCACAGGGAACTATATTCAATATCTTGCAATAAACTACAATGGAAAAGAATATGAAAAGGAATATGTATATATATGTACAACAATCACTTGCTATACACCAGAAACTAACACAACGTTGTAAATCAACTATAATAAAACCAATTTTTAATTATTTAAATTTAAATGGAAGCACTCCCCCAACCCCCCTCCCTCGATGTAATCATTATTCAGTATCACTCTGTATTATCAATGCCTGGTTGTCTGTCTCCAGCACTAAAATGTAAACTCCGTGTAAGCAGGGACAATGTTGATCTTGCTCATCATATCCCCAGTGCCAGGCACTTGCCTGGGGCTAAGAAAACATGAAAGGATTATGAATGAATGGATGGATGGATGGATGGATGGATGGATGGGTGGATGAATGGGAGGGCAGGCAGTCCACTGCATCCATGGTCCACTTCCTCTGGAAGCCCCTTCCACTCTCACAACTCCCAGGGCCCTCTGGACCTGGTCTTCCTCCTTGGCTGCTGCCTCCTCCCTCCGCTATAAGGATACAATACTCTTGAACTCCAGATGTGGGAACTTTCTCTGCAGCTGGGCCGCTCTCCGCAGGGAGCTAGTTCCCACCACGCTGCTCAGAGAGATGGTTTAAAATGAGATTTAAGTCGCATGAGATTTAACTAGGCAGGCACTGTTCCTTTCCTCCTCCTCCCACCCCTCCATCTTCTGTGCACATCCCACCAAGATGCCTATCCAGGCCCCACTCACCTCTTCTCTGGCAAGGTTTCTAGGGTCTTCCCAACAAATTTTGGGTGAAAGACCACAGCATCATAGGGGCTCTCCCGCCTGGGGATGGAGGGAAAGTCATAGAATAAGGGAGAGATCTCGGTTCAGGTCACTTCCAGGCTCTCTCAATAGTCAACTAACTGGCATTTTCTGAGTTTTCTGCCATGCTTGACACTCCTCAGGGCAGGGGAGACAGCCTAGAGGCAGAGGGCCAAGTCCCAAAGGGAAAAGTCAAGGTTAATATGATGTCTACCCCATGCCGAGGCCCCCTGACTGGCAGGACTCTTACTTGCAGATGGCTCCAATGGTGAAGCCAGGAGGAAGCACCGTGGGCAGGTCCTTCAGGGAGTGAACAACCAGGTCCACTCTAGAGAGATGGCAGAGAGAGAAGGAGAAGGGGTCTGAGCAGCACGTCCCCAGCCCTTCTCCACCCACTCCTGCCTGTACGTCACTGGCAGAGCCTAGAGCGGTTCAGGAAGCAGGCCTTTCTGAGACCTTGGGTCCCAGAGACCTGCTCCCCTCCTACACTCCCTTTCATCCCCCTCCCCCAGCCAGTCCTGCACCCCCAGGCAGCCAGATGGCTCAGAACCAGGACACTCTCCTTTTCTGAGGCCTGAAAAACTCACATATGAGCCCCTCTCTAGCCTATCCAAGCGTTTAAGCCCAACAGTCTAGCTGATACCCAGGTCTGATGTGCACTGGGGTCCTAGCGAGAGCCTGGGAGGGCGCCATGCTCCCTGCTATCACTTACTCATTCCTCTCCAGCGCGTGTTCCAGCTCCTTGGTAAACAGGCTCTTCTCTCCAATCTGCCAGGCAAGAAAGAGCCTCAGGGTGAATCTTTTGGGGGAAGGAAAGAGGAGGGGGAAAAGCGTTGGATGGAAAATGTTACCTTAGAGAGAGCAGTATCAAGAATCTTGTCTCCTGTGGTGGACATAGCAACTGAGGAGAGAATCAACAAACCAGACGTTCAGTGATCAGCATTTATTGAGCCCCTACTGAGCTGAGCACTTGTGCTAAGATTGTTGGTGGATACAGAGGCACATAAGCCCCAGTCCCTACCCTCTGGGAATGTACAATCTAGGAGGAAGACCAGACGTAATCACAAAAAGACCCAAAGCAGATGATAAATGCCAGGCTAGCCCAGGTAGTCAGAGCTGGAGGTGTTCAGAGAAGGAAAGGGCCCTCCAAACCGGGGACAGCCAAGAAGAATTCTCAGAGGCAACAGAACCAAGCTTTGGTGCAAGACAAAGCCAGAAACACTGTGTTCTCCCCTCCAGGGGTTAAAGGCTTCCCATTAGCTTCCATTCCTTTCCAGAAAACTCACTGATTTCAAACTGCAGGCCTGGGTATAAGGCTTTCAGCGTTGCCACCACACTGTCCGTCTGTATGCGGGCCAGCTGGGGGTAGAAATTCAGGTTAGTCCTGTCCTCTGGCCACCACCCTAAGGTCAGACCCTCACAGGGTCAGGGAGATCCTGAAAGGATTGGAATTCAGAGAGGGGATTGAATGCCCACCTAGGAAGGGGGGGGTCTGGCCTGGGAGTCCTTTGTACCCCAACTTCCCAGCCCAGGGACTATCTCTTTACAGAATGCAATCTGTCATCCTGCATGGGATTTGATACTCAGTCACCCCATTTCTTCCATCCCCGAGCTGCTGAGAACGCTCTGGGCCCCCCAACTTATAATACTGTGAACACAGAAGTCTTCTGACAAACCTCCTCCACCCCGGTACTTACACTCACCTGGCTCTTGCGGGTACCCACGCGAATCACTCTCATCTTTGAGCTGTTTTCTTCCTGCAGAAAAAGTCCCCAGGTCACAGTCCCTGCTGCTCTTTGTGTTCCTCAACACCTTGTCCAAGAAACAGAATCACTGGCTTGGAAGAAAGGAACCTCAGCCCCTGGTCTGTGGCCAGCTGAGCCTTCGAGTGGGGAAACACTCCCCTCCCCAAGACTGGTCCCTTTACCTTCCCCAACAATACCTTCTGGCTCCTCAGGGATCCAGAGAAGCAGAGACCAGACAGAAGTGACAGTAGGACCTGCTGTTGCTGTAATGACCAGGACACTAAGCCCTGAAGCCCATCCAAGCTAAGGCAGTAGGAATGCTGCACTCAGCCAGGTGGGTAGAGAGATAAGGTCTATCAGTCTGGCCCCAGGGAGGGTGGGGCCTGCAGCAGGCAGGGGCAGGACAGCTGGGGCCACACAGGGGACCATGAGCTGAGTCACTGAGGACAAGTTCAGCATCCACAACGGAGCGGCACTTGAGAAAGCTTCAGTGCCACCTAGATGCCATAAGTGCTACCCCACAGCTGCTGCACTATGGATCCCGTAATCTGGACGGAATGCACGACTGGGATCGACAGATCTGACGTACAGTCCTGCTCAGCCTCTTGGCTGGGCGAACTTGAACACATCATCTTATTTGTTCATCTATAAACCTGTTTGTTCATCTATAAAATGAAGAAGTTTGCACTCAAGTATCTTCTGCTTTTGATATTCTGTAAGACTAAGAGGGTGAGCTGTCTAATGTCCATTCACCTAGAGTGCAGCCTCTGGTTTCACCACAAAGGAAATATTAGGATGTCAGAGACCAAGCCAAGAACTCAAAGGGCCATGCCTCTTCCTCTTGCCAGGGCACCTTGGACAAAGGTATTCAGTGCCAAGCAGGCAGAACTGGGTTCTCCAGTCTGAGGTCCTATTTCTTCCCAGATCAGACAGTGATCACTATAGATACTATCAACTTCCCCTGCTCTGGGATCTTCATCCTACAGAGTTCTTCTGCAGTCAGGTATCTGGGGCCTCTGTTGCTGGAGGAGGTGACAGCTGGCGGCTCTTGGACTCTAGTCTACTCCACAGCTATCACTTCTCCAATAAATAAACCCTGGGGGGCCCTAAGCAAATTAGGCTAGGTTGGAAATGCTAAACATGGCAACTAAAATTCTGGGCCACAGGCAGCCCACAGAAAGGAATCTAAGGTCCCAGAAACTGCTATGTTCAAACAATCCCTTAATTTCATTGATTCTGCACAGCATATTCAAGTCAAATTGTTCCAGTAAAAAATTCCTTATTGAGCATGTATATCCTAGAGCTATTGCTTTTAATCTTCATAACAACCTATCAGGTAGACAGGGCAGGCATCTCTGGAACTACGTTACAGAAGCAAAGTCTGGCTCTGAGGAGCAAAGTGACTTGCCAAGGGCCACAGGGTTAATCATGGGTAGAGAGCTGGAATCCAAATCTTCTTACTCCTAGTCCAGCACTCAGGAATGTCAGCAATGGCACAGAATCCCACTCCTTACCAGCACATAGGTCAGGGAGAGATAGGGCAGCTGCCCCACTCCTTTCTTATCTCAGGCTGACGTTGGCCTCATGGGCTCTGCAGTCTGCATCTGCACAAGCCCAGAACTGGGACCCCAGGCTAGGAATAGGAAGGCCCAAGGGCGTCCCCCGTCCATGGTAGTAACCCAATGATGTGTCTCAGTTGAGGAGTTTTGAGTGTAGGCTGGGGCAGTTGAGTGTAGGCTGGGGCTGGGTGTCCATTAAAAAGAAAAAAAGCAGAGAAGGTGCACTTCCAAGACGTTTGTGTGCAGTTCGGAGAATTCGAGGTACACTCTCCTCTCTGGATCCAAAATGGAACACTTCCCCAAAGTGGCTGAATCTCGAATAGGACCTGTCTCGTGTGAAGGGATCCCGGGGAATAGCACCCTGTCTCGTGCAGACGAATTTTCCTATGTTGGGTCACTATATCTAGAGCCGCGGAAGCCATGCCTCATGGAATCCCATCCAGATCCCCGCAGGAACGGGGTTCCGTTCGAGACAATCGATCTGCTCTTAAGTCCGCCCCCACCGCTCTCTGATTCCCCTAAGGGCAACCCAACTACTGGCCCTTTAAAAACTGTTAGAACCAAAAAAAAAAAAAAAAAAACCAGACAGATAACCGTCCCGACCAATTGACGACGGAGAGTGGCAACTTGGGGCCAATCGTGGCACTGCTAGTGCAGAAGACCGAAGCTGCGAGGGTCACCGGCTCAGGACTCACCGCCGTTGCGGCCGCGTCGCCGTTACCAGACATGGCTGTGCGCGGGAAGTAGGCCGGAGGCTGCTGCCCGTGTCCTCCGGAGTCGGGCAAGCCAAAGGCTCCGGCCGGCCGGGCACTGGGCGCACGCGGAGCTCGCAATCCTCCGGCAGCCACACTCTCCCGGCTCCGCTAAGGGCCTGCGTCACTTCCGGCCCCGCCCCAGAGGGGCTAGACCTCCCCTGGGCGGGAATTAGAACGATTGCAACAGAGAAGATCTTACCTTGCGTTACCGCCCCTACTCCCCCAGGCTGGCCCTGGTCTTCCCCGTTTGAGACCCAGGCCCACCAACTGTTCGTTTTTACTTTTACCTAGCCAGGAATACCGACCGTCAGTGGCCAAGATATGCTTCCCAGATTTATCCACAAAGTTCGTTCTTTTCAGTCCCTCCTACCGCCACCCAAGGGAACGTCAATAAACCAAAAGTAGGCGTGCCGAGAGGAAAAGGAGATTAACCCTACAATGTGGCGTCGGAAGTTAAAGGCTACTTGAGCAACTTACCATGCCCCCAGGCTGCATTCAACGTCTACAAATGAAAGAGGCCTGCTTCTGAAAGCTAGTCACCCAAAATTCCACAGCTTTATCTCCTTAGCTGTGGCACAAGCAATTAGTGCAGCTTATGTGGTGCTGCTTCTGCTACAACCCTGAAGTAGGCAACTAAAGACAAGTAACTGAAATGGGAGTGACAACACATTATTAGTGTTAGTGGGAAAAGGGCTTGTGAGTACAAGTGCTTTATCCATTAACGGTACTAATAACCACGTATTAACCACTTTCAAATAACTGGACACCTGTCATCCATACCAGCCTGAGGGCTACAAGATTCCAGCCGTGACTTATCTCTGTGTTTCAAAAGCACCTGGTATTTGACAGAGATGTTTTGCAACTGAGATTTAAGAGATACGCAGTGGTCAACAGCCCAGAACTAGCTCTGACTTGACCACAGGACCTGGTAGTGTCCTAAAGCTACCTTTGCTTCATTACCATGCCAAGATCCCCGCCCAAGGGGGATATTTGTACTCTGCTAGGCGCAAATCCCTGCCACGTGGAAGGCTGTGATGCCCCAGCTCCGCCCCCCACCCCAAAATCTCTGCCCCTTTCCTAGAGCCCTGATGACATGTCTGCCTCCTATCCCTTAAATTCTCTTACTGCCCTCCCTTGGGGGAGAAGGTGTCTTTAGAGCATGTGCTCACCCTTCTCCATTCCTTGATCAATGAATAGTTTCTGCTCTGCTATACCGAACACAGTGTTGTTTGACCGGAATTTGCAACTCCAGGCAAAGGACCCACTGAGGGGTCACTGACCTCTTGGGGACCAGTAACACATCCATTGATTGGCTCCTTTGACCTTCATCATAACAGCCGTACTAGAAAGATGTTGTTAATTCCTCATGTTCAGACGAAGAAACTGAGGTTCAGAGAAGGTTCAGAGTTGCCCTAAGTGAAACTAAGAATCAAGCTCAGGGCAGCTGATCCAAAGTCTGTATTCTTAGCTGCTACCAATGTAATGTACTCTATCCGCCTCTTCTAAATACTACCTAAACCACAATGTCTTAAGTTACTTCTTTTAATTAAACAACCCCATAGGAGCAATTTTCCAACGGGCAGTGTAACCCCAATTACACGCACTTAGCAACACAAACTTCAATTGACAACTTTGGAAGAGGGAACAAAATGTTTCAATAAAGGCCCTTTTATCCTGTTTATCATCTGGTACTGAATACAGAGAGACACCAACCCACCCATTATGATGGCAGGCTTTAAAGCCCAAGGCTCCCCACCATAATCTGCCTCCAGCTTGAATACTCTGTCCATACAAGAGCCACAGAGACCAGCCACACTATAGAGCAGAGTCCTCAGTCCGGGCTGCTCTTGGGGCTCAGGCCTCAGGCCTTTGCAGAGGTTCTTCAACTGAACTCTACTAGATGCCATAGGCCCCACTCATTACTGGAATGAAGTCTCGTCAACATCATCTTTAAGGAACTCTGTAGGAAGGGAAGGGGAGCTCTAGGAGAGCAGAGGGAAAGAAGTACATTTTGCACAGTTAAGAATCACCAGGAAGTCCCCAGAATAAATCCTTCAACCCCGAAATCATTATATGCTTTTATTTATAGACTCTGGGAGCCAGGACCCAAGCACAGCCTGGTGCTCTTGGATAGAGAATAAAGCCGCTATTGTCCAGACTCTGAGGTTGCTGAGGTGCCCTCCCCCTCTGGTCTGGAATGATCTACACTGCTCAAAAAGTCAACAGGACAAATGGCAGGTTGGCCGAAGAAGGAGGCAGGAAAAGAAAGTCCCCTTAAGTCCTGAGGGCTATGGCATCAGATGAGAGCAGAGTCCTGGGCATGTTTGCCTAACTCCTGTGCAACAGCCCTGTCTCTGTCCCCGTGTCCCTGCTGCTGGGCCTCCACCATCACACCCCTCCCACTAGCCGCTTAAGTGCCCCTCCTGGCGTGTATGAGCAAGTCCCTCTGCAGCCCAGCCTCCAGGCTCGCAGTCAGTCGGGCTGTGGGCGGGTCGGTCAGCAGAGTCAATTTGTTGAAAACACCTCGGCCAAAGTAGTCAGCAATCACAGAGAAGCTGTCGTTGGAGCACTTGAGCTGCAGGGAAAGAGAAGAGTTGCGAGTCAAAAACCCACAGGACAGGGCTTCCCTGGTGGCGCAGTGGTTGAGAGTCTGCCTGCCGATGCAGGGTACACGGGTTCGTACCCCGGTCTGGGAAGATCCCACATGCCGCGGAGCGGCTAGGCCCGTGAGCCATGGCCGCTGAGCCTGCGCGTCCAGAGCCTGTGCTCCGCAACGGGAGAGGCCACAACAGTGAGAGGCCCGCGTACCAGGAAAAAAAAAAAAAAAAAAAAAAAAAAAACCCACAGGACAGGCTTCCCTGGTGGCACAGCAGTTAAGAATCCGCCTGCCAATGCAGGGGACACAGGTTCGAGCCCTGGTCTGGGAAGATCCCACATGCCTCAGAGCAACTAAGCCCATGGGCCACAACTACTGAGCCTGCGCTCTAGAGCCCGCAAGCCACAACTACTGAAGCCTGCGCGCCTAGAGCTCGTGCTCCACAACAAGAGAAGCCACGACAATGAGAAGCCCGCACACCTCAACGAAGAGTAGCCTCTGCTCAACGCAACTTAGATAAAAAGCCCGCGCACAGCAACGAAGACCTAACACAGCCAAAAATCAATCAATCAATCAAAATAAAACAGAACACCTCATTCCATCTCTTTAAAAAAATAAGAGAAGCCACTGCAATGAGAAGCCTGCGCACCGCAACAGAGTAGCCCCCGCTCGCCGCAACTAGAGAAAGCCTGCGCACAGCAACGAAGACCCGATGCAGCCAAAAATAAATAAATAAAATAGATACATTAAAGAAATAAAAAATGTTTAAAAAAAAAAAAAACCACAGGAGGAGGAGAAAAGAACACCAGTCCCCAGCGCTCACCACCTCCCTGTGGGCGGGGGAGTCACGTCATCCCCACCTGGTGCTGGAACTGATCATGGAGATCTCGCTTCTGTTCCTGGGCCCGAATCATATCCATGACCTTGCGGTTTTCAGGGAGGCAGGTGGGGCAGTCGGCATCACTTTCTGAGTAACTCTCAAAGCAGTGCTGGTGGAAGGAGTGGCCGCAGAGAAAGTGGACTGAGGGCAACTCCAAGGCACTGTTACAGATGCTGCACTTGGTCTTCTGGAAAATCTTTGGACTACAGGCAAGGGAGACCAGAAAAGAGTGGCAGAAAGTGAGGGCAGGGCCAGGAACCATGTGGAGAGAGAAGGCAGTTGGAGGCAATGAGGAGAGAGAGGTCCCCGTTAAGAACTACGAGGCCCTGCTCTTCTTACCACCTAAAGCGGGTCACAGGAGGACCCCACGCTGGGCCTGCAGGGAGTCTCAGCACCCTCCCAGCAGGTCCATCCAACCCAAGATAAGTACCTGCTACAAGACAATATCCTCCAAAGCCCAATAAATCACGTTCTACGTAGTAAATCATTCTTTGGAATTCCTCCATCAAAACAGATCTTCAAGAATGAAATGCTCAAACACACTCCATACAATCCTGTCTTTGAAAAATGACACCCTGTGAAGAACAGTGTTATCCCCGGACGCCTCCACAGTTCTGGATGCCAAGTACCTCGCCTTCAGCTCCTGGATCTCCTGGCGGATACGGGTGGTCTCCTCTCGGTAGCGCCGCACCCGGAGCTCATCCTGCGCGATCTGCTGGCTCTGCTTCTGCAGTTTTTGGACTAGGTAGTCCCGGATGACAGACAGGGTGGCCGTGGAGTTGTGGGCCAGGGTCTGCACCACTGAGATGGGGGTCCGGGAGGAAACAAGACCATGAACGAAGCAGCCCTCTGGATAGAACGGAAGGGCCCCTGCCCCAGAGCCCGACTGCTGGCAGCCTGCACCCAGCCGCCCGCCCTGTCCTCCGGAGTACCTAGGAGAGGCGGCATGAGGTTCTTGCCCTCGATGTGCTTAAGCACGGCCGCCACGTACTGCTTGCAGTCCTCCTCCTTGCGGGCGAAGTAGCTGAGCGCCTGTTCCCACAGGGAGGGCTCCTGCTCCCCGTGGCGCTCGCACACGGCGAGCACCTGCCGGTACTGCTCGTGCTGCATGTGATAGTGCATGATCTGCTGGAACCTGCGGCCAGGCAAGGCGCACATCAGCAGCTGTCCCCCACAAGTGGCTCGGCTGCGTTCCCCTTCCCTGAGATTCCCCAGACTCTTACAGTTTCCCCTGCTCATAGAGGTAAAGGACTCCATCCTGGAAGTCGTGCATCTGGCAGAGGACCAGGGCTTTGTCAAAGACGTCACAGAAGCGACCACTCTTCAGTAGGGAGATGGCCTCTGCGTGAAGCTTCTCTTTGACCTAAAAGAGGAGGGTAGAGCTGCTGGGCATCAGGGAAAAACGACAAGGCCTCTCAGGACCAGGCAAGTCAACTATCTCTTCCCCTCAGTCCCATCTCCTCTTCACGGGGGACCATTTAGCCCCCAAGGGTGAGGTGTTATTGGTCTAAAGAAAGCAGCAAGAGGCAACCAGGGAAGAAATAGAAGCAGTTTCTCTCCAGCGCCTCTGGCCACTTTGCCAGGTCTCACCTGCGGCTCCTCCTCGTGAGCCCAGTTCTGGAGTCGCAGCTCAAGGAGCGTGTC